CGTGCAGAAGCTGTGGAGTTTGATTAGGTCCCATTTGTCTATTTTGGCTTTTGTTGCCATTGCTTTTGGTGTTTTGGTCATGAAGTCCTTGCCTACGCCTATGTCCTGAATGGTTTTGCCTAGATTTTCTTCTAGGGTTTTTATGGTGTTAGGTCTTATGTTTATGTCTTTAATCCATCTGGAGTCAATTTTAGTGTAAGGTGTCAGGAAGGGGTCCAGTTTCTGCTTTCTGTACATGGCTAGCCAGTTTTCCCAACACCATTTATTAAACAGGGAATCCTTTCCCCATTGCTTGTTTTTGTCTGGTTTGTCAAAGATCAGATGGTTGTAGTTATGTTGTGTTGTTCCGAGGCCTCTGTTTTGTTCCATTGGTCTATATCTCTGTTTTGGTACCAGTACCATGCTGCTTTGATTACTGTAGCCTTGTAGTATAGTTTGAAGACCGGTAGTGTGATGCCTCCAGCTTTGTTCTTTTTGCTTAGAATTGACTTGGCTATGCAGGCTGTCTTTTGGTTCCATATGAAGTTTAAGGTGTTTTTTTCCAGTTCTGTGAAGAAGGTCATTGGTAGCTTTATGGGGATAGCATTGAATCTGTAAATTACTTTGGGCAGTATGGCCATTTTCACGATATTGATTCTTCCTAACCAGGAACATGGAATGTTTTTCCATCTGTTTGTGTCCTCTCTGATTTTGCTGAGCAGTGTCTTGTACTTCTCCTTGAAGAGGTCCTTTACATTCCTTGTTAGTTGTATTCCTAGGTATTTTATTCTCTTTGTGGCAATTTTGAATGGCAGTTCATTCTTGATATGGCTCTCTTTCAGTCTGTTATTGGTGTATAGAAATGCTTGTGATTTCTGCACATTGATTTTGCATGCTGAGACTTTGTTGAAGTTGCTTATCAGTTTAAAGAGACTTTGGGCTGAGATGATGAGGTTTTCTAAATATACAATCATGTCATCTGCAAGTAGAGACAATTTGATTTCTTCTTTTCCTAATTGAATATGCTTTATTTCTTTTTCTTGCCTGATTGCTCTGGCTAGAATTTCTAGTACTATATTGAATAGGAGTGGTGAGAGATGGCATCCTTGTCTAGTGCCAGATTTCAAAGGGAATGCTTCGAGGTTTTGCCCATTCAGTATGATATTGGCTGTTGGTTTGTCGTAAATAGCTTTTAGTATTTTGAGATACATTCCATCAATACCTAGCTTATTGAGGGTTTTTAGCATGAAGGGCTGTTGAATTTTGTCAAAGGCCTTCTCTGCATCAATTGAGATAATCATGTGGTTTTTGTCTTTGGTTCTGTTTATGTGGTGTATTACGTTTATACACTTGTGTATGTGGAACCAGCCTTGCATCCCCAGGATGAAGCCTACTTGATCATGGTGGATTAGCTTTTTGATGTGCTGTTGCAATTGACTTGCCAGTATTTTATTGAAGATTTTTGCATCTATGTTCATCATGGATATTGGCCTGAAGTTTTCTTTTCTTGTTGAGTCTCTTCCGAGTTTTGGTATCAGGATGATGTTGGTCTCATAAAATGATTTGAGAAGGATTCCCGCTTTTTGTATTGTTTGGAATAGCTTCAGAAGGAATGGTACCAGCTCCTCTTTGTATGTCTGGTAGAATTCGGCTGTGAACCCATCTGGACCTGGGCTTTTTTTGGGTAGTAGGCTCTTAATTGCTGCCTCAACTTCAGACCTTGTTATAGGTCTGTTCAGGGTTTCGGCTTCTTCCTGGTTTAGGCTTGGGAGGAGGCAAGTGTCCAGGAATTTATCCATTTCTTACAGGTTTACTAGCTTATGTGCATAGAGTTGTTTGTAATAATCTCTGATGATGGTTTGAATTTCTGTGGAATCTGTAGTGATATCCCCTTTATCGTTTTTTATTGCATCTATTTGGTTATTCTCTCTTTTCTTTTTTATTAATCTGGCTAGTGGTCTGTCTATTTTGTTGATCTTTTCGAAAAAACAGCTCCTGGATGTATCGATTTTTTGAAGGGATTTTCGTGTCTCTATCTCCTTCAGTTCTGCTCTGATCTTAGCTATTTCTTGTCTTCTGCTAGGTTTTGAGTTTTTTTGATCTTGCTCCTCTAGCTCTTTCAATTTTGATGATAGGGTGTCAATTGTAGATCTCTTCTTGCTTCTCATGTGGGCACTTATTGCTATATATTTTCCTCTAGAGACTGCTTTAAATGTGTCCCAGAGATTCTGGTATGTTGTGTCTTCATTCTCGTTGGTTTTGAAGAACATCTTTATTTCTGCCTTCATTTCATTGTTTATCCAGTCAACATTCAAGAGCAAGTTGTTCAGTTTCCATGAGGCTGTGCAGTTCTGAGCTAGTTTTTGAATTCTGAGTTCTAACTTGATTGCATTGTGGTCTGAGAGACTGTTTGTTATGATTTTCGTTCTTTTGCCTTTGCTGAGGAGTGATTTACTCCCGATTATGTGGTCAATTTTGGAGTAGGTGTGATGTGGTGCTGAGAAGAATGTATAGTCTCTGGATTTGGGGTGGAGAGTTCTGTAAATGTCTATTAGGTTAGCTTGGTCCAGGTCTGAGTTCAAGTCCTGGATATCCTTGTTAATTTTCTGTCTGGTTGAACTGTCTAATATTGACAATGGGGTGTTAAAGTCACCCACTATAATTTGTGGGAGTCTAAGTCTCTTTGCTAGTCATTAAGAACTTGCCTTATGCATCTGGGTGCTCCTGTATTGGGTGCGTATATATTTAAGATCGTTAGCTCTTCTTGTTGCATTGATCCTTTTACCATTATGTAATGCCCTTCTTTGTCTCTTTTGATCTTTGTTGCTTTAAAGTCTAGTTTATCAGAGATGAGAATTGCAACTCCTGCTTTTTTTGCTCTCCATTTGCCTGGTAAATCTTCCTCCATCCCTTTATTTTGAGCCTTTGAGTATCCTTGCATGTGAGATGAGTTTCCTGGATACAGCAGACCGATGGGTTTTGGCTTTTAATCCAATTTGCCAGTCTGTGTCTTTTGATGGGGGCATTTAGTCCATTTACATTTAGGGTTAATATTGTTATGTGTGAATTTGATACTGCCATTTTGGTGCTAGCTGGCTCTTCTGCCAATTAGTTGATGCAGGTTCTTCATTGTGTTGATGCTCTTTGCCATTTGGCATGTTTTTGGAGTGGCTGGTACTGGTTGTTCCTTTCTATGTGTAGAGCCTCTTTCAGGAGCTCTTGTAAAGCAGGCCTGGTGGTGACGAAATCTCTGAGTACTTGCTTGTTTACAAAGTATTTTATTTTTCCTTCACTTATGAAGCTTAGTTTGGCTGTATATGAAATTCTGGGT